CATGCAACAACATTAAAGGTATCTAACATGCTGAAGAAGATTGCACCAATTTCCATGGTCATAGAAGTCCCTGATCTGCAGGTTGCTCCCATAGACAAGGTTCGGATTGCCGCCATCATTGGTACCACTCAGAGTATTGGGACAGAAAGAAGAAGCTATGCCTGGATGCATGCTTTTCTGATTCTGTTGTGCTAGGTGTCATGATGCAACAACATTAAAGGTGTCTAAAGTGCTGAAGGAGATTGTGCCTATTTGTCTGGTCATCAAAGACTTGGACCTGCAGGCTGCTCCATGTTGATCTTCAAAAGGCCCATGATGAGTGGGGAGCTCAGTGGAGATGTAAGGTTAAGCAGTCATATGCAGGACGTGACAATTCTTTGGGTAAGCCCAGGACCCAAGCATGATGTGTTGGTTCTGCATTTATGGAAGCCTTCTTAGATGGCTGGGAATGCCCATGATCTGCCCTGTCTTTCCTTGAGGGCCAACCAGTCAACATGCAGCAGCTCTTGATGGGTTCCTCACCTGCAGTACCTGTATATGAAGGGACAAAGAGGATACCACACAAAACCAACTAGGAAGGCTAACCTTGTGAACAAATGCCCAATAAAATTGGATGTGTCAACCAGAAGGCACAAATATTGCAGCTATGCTGTAAAATGCAAATACATCACTTGGACGGACAGAGAAGGGATGAAGAACATATGGAACAAGTTTTAGCACAAGGTTGTCAATCCTAGGTAGTTAATTCCACAAGAAAAATCTCTAGAGGATTAGAAGATGTAGTTTCAAGAAGAATGCTGAAAATTCCTTGGGCAGCTGAATGGAGGAAGAGGCTGAGCACAAATCTACTTATGATGAACATGATGGGGTTCCAGGGCCCTATTTTTGGGTTAAAATTAATAACAAGCATGTCATAAAAGATGACTATTTAGTGGTGTTTGCTTCAAAGTCAGAGTGCATCTGCCTGAGAGATGAAGAATCAACAGTTTGCATACAAAATAAGCCAGATCTTTTCACACAAAACTCAAGTTCTGGAACAAAACCAAAATCCAGAAGTAGATAAACAGCCAGAACTTTTTGCTAGAGTTTACAGCCAATGCATGCTAAGAAAAAGAAGAAGAAGAAGGTAAGAAATCTTTTTTTTTTTTTGGCTGCACAAGAGGAGAAATGCTGCAACATACTGTAATAATTGGAAAGTAAGCAAGGCAAAATCATGAAAAAAGATTCTGATCAGCTGTTGGTCATGACAAGAATAGATGCCAGCACACATACTAATTTATGCTGTTAGAGATTGTAACATGTGAGAGGCATGCTCACCCACATCAGTCAGCAAGGAACAAATAAATTTGACACAAACTGACTAGAGAGCTTAAAAGAGGGAAGGGAAAAGACATGGATAAAAAGAGCAAATTGTTTCAACCAAAGTCTTTATGAGCAACAAAAAAACCACAAACTGTGACCAGAAAACTCAGCAGATAAGATGTAATGCACAAAAAGCTCCCTTGTCCTGTCTTTTCAGTTAAAATTAGTTACGTAGCTTTTACAGGACGTTGCAGAACCAACTCCAGCATTTTGTGGCTGTTGTGATTTTTCTAGGCAAATTTATATCCAGTAGTTTGCCATTGCTTTCTGGATGGTCAGCTTCTCGATATCACTGTTGAAACCAAATAAGGCCTGCAGCTGGGATCGAACTCAGCACCCCGGCATTACAAAGCTCATTCGCAACGCTTAAGCCACAAACACCGACGTCTATTCAGTACGCCAGTGATGAAGACTTTGATTAAAACATTTGGCTGTATATGTGCACATTTTTCCGTATTGATCTTCCTAATCAGTTTTGTTTGTATTTAGTACTTCTTGATATCAGCTCAACTGCAGTCACTCTTGTTTCATTTAGCAAGACACTTGGCACTGATGATTAAAATATATATTTCATTTCTTTTTTATAAGAAATATTTAACATAGATTTTGTTTCATTTGATAATGTAGTGCATGTGTATGTGTACACACGTGTGTTAGTGAGAGTGTATCTTCTTTTTCTTCTTCTTGTTCATCTTCTTCACTTCCTCTTTTACTGTTTCAAGCATTGAAGGCGATATAAGGTTCTGCTTTTTGCTCTTCTGGCCACATTGACTATAGACACACTTGCTTTAGTAGAGTTTCTCTGATGTTATCTTTCCATTTTGTTCTTGGTCTACTTTGTGCTTTATGTCCTTCTTCTTGTATGATATGGTATCATAAGGCATTCTCTAAGTGGCTCTATGTCCTTCTCATTGTATGATATGGCATCATAAGGCATTCTCTAAGTGGCTCTATATCCTTCTCCTTGTATGATATGGCGTCATAAGGCATTCTCTAAGTGAGGAAACCATTTGATTTGCTGTAAAAGTGTATGCACACGTTAAAGAAGCTACCAGAAAAAGAGTAACATTGGCTGTTATGTTTATTCCACTCCAGGAATCAGTGTTTGTGTTGCTAGTGCCTGTGATCATCTGTGTCTACCCAAAGCCAACAATCAGTACTCATGTCGCTGTGCTGCAGGCTACATCTTGCAAGATCTTCAGTGCATAAAACGTAAGTTTTAAATCATATGATGTTGCTCTCTAGAACTCATCCCCTCATGAGCTGCAAGTTTTTGTTATTTTGAAGTCCTACCCTGATTTTGCTGGGGCATAAATATGGTGTAGCCAAAGATATGGCCTTACGGCTGAGAGGGGTTTCTGGGACCTCTCCATGGGTAATCCTCAATCACAGGGTAGCACTTTGTGTCACTGGGTGTTTATCCCTTGTTTGATGTCATGGTGGGGTACAATTACCTATCAACGAACCCTTTGATGTCACATTTTATTGAGATTTTCTGTTTTTAATTAAATGACTTTCTTGTCCTTTTTACGCACCATGTGTAACTGGATTTACTTATATGCACTAGTTAACATATTACTATTCTTGTGCAATTTATGCTTAGTTGGAGCATGTGTTACACCACTCAACAACACAAGGACCTTTTATTTGGGCATTGTGGATGTTTATATCCATTATTTTGTTGATTTCCTAATTGACTCACTGGGGCATCAGCTATGCCTAAAAAGCTGAGAATTTAGAACCAACATCCTATCACCTTGGTGGGATCTTGAAGGGTTTTCTCTGGTGTCTCTGGACAGCAGTGAGCCATGAAAATTTTATACAGGAAAACAAAAAATTAATTACATCAGTGCGTTCTGCACAGGGACTTATTTCTGGAATGCAGGAAAATCTATTTTTTAAATGTTTACATTTACCCTTCAAAAAAAATAAAAAGAAAAATGAACAATTTAATTTAATTTATGGGATCACAGATCATTTTGGCCGTATAAAATGGGGTCATGATTTGAAATGTGGGAACCGCTGACCTAGGGTATTCCAGTAACCACTCAGTCTTTAGCAACCGGGGTAGAATTCCAATACTGATTGTGTCATTTGTAGTCTGATTATGTTTTCATCTCATTTTTCATCTGAGCATTGTATGAGTATCAGACTCATCAAATAAGTCACAGAATGACAGCTTAATGTGCCAGCTGTATTGTTGCTGCTGTTTTTTTTTTTTTTTTTTTATTTGCTTTGTTCTTGTTAATCTCATTGCTACTGATTTCCTCTCTTTTTGCAATTCTGATGTAATAGATAATAATTTTTCCTGCAAGTTTTTAGTTGTTTCTGTATGTTTTAATGTTTAGGGAAATGTTGTCATATTGTTTAAATGTTCTCATTCTGTCTCATTTTAACTCTCTGCTATGATGATTTAATCTTCTTTTCTGTACTCCTGGAATGCCTCGCAGCATCAGGCAGGAAGAGATCTCTGGAGCTGGCCCTTCTGTTCACTTCATACATATATATATATGTATAGTTTAATGTCTCCAATATTATTGCGGTCCACATTCTGCATGGTTGACCTCTGTTTCTGTTACTACTGTATCAGTAAAAAATTCCTTTCTGTGCCATCCTGTACATTGTTAATCCTATTATGTGGCCATTCGATCTGTTGTCTACTGATAAAATTCAATATTTGTTCTGTGCCATCTCTCCTCCTTTTAAACCAGGTAATGTACTTTTATATTTTCAATATTTCCTTTTTCTGAATCTTATCTTGCTTCTTTCTGCTGTTGTACTGAGAAGGTCACTAATATCCACAGTACTTATTTTCACTGCAAACAAAGAAGAAAAAGTCTAAATTAATAAATTAGGTTACCTAGGTTTTCATTTGCATATCTTAAAAAAAAGAATTACGTGGAAAGAAAAAGGAAGGGTAAAGGACAGTAGTATGGCTGGTACAACAGTATAGAATAAAAATGAATGTTTTAATATTTTTGCAAACAAACATTTCACTCTTGTAAAATTTCTGCTGGTTGTTAAGTTATTTGTTTATAATTATGATAATATATGTGTCCAAATTTAACCAAATATAAATTTCTGTAAACTAATATACCATTTCAATGGTTTGAAATGAATTCTGTCCGTAGTCCATAGTTGTGGATTTCAAGCTGTATGAAAGACATGGCCAATAAGACACCTTTTTTTGGGTGTGCCTGGTTGACCATGTTCTTAGTATACTTGTATCCATGGCAAGGCGCACATGCCGTCTGGAGGTGATAGGTTCAATTCCCACCATGGTAACTATAGCTTTCGATTTTTATGTTGTCTAGTGTGTTTTTCTATCTTTCTTATTTATTCTATGAGTGCCGATCAAAACATTTTCTGTTACTTGATTAACTAGAACTCATACTTGTGCACGGTTGTGATAGTTAATTTGATTTTATTCATATAGAAGCCACTACAGAGGTACCCATCACGCTGCCCATGTCAACACCTTCTATTTCCCGTGAACAATCATCCACACCGTCACCAACCACACCATCATCAAACTCACAGCCAGTGACAACAACAACGGAGGAGATGTGAATGTATCACTGCAGCAAACAACATCATCACCATCATCATCAGTTCCAACAACATCAAGACTGGTAACAATGACGGCTCCCTCCATGACATCTACCACTAACAATAATCAGTCATCATCTGAAACTTGGGAAATAAACACAATGATAGAGCCAACATTTGGCCAGAATACAGACAGAGCAGGTAAGCATGAACAACGTGAGTAATCTGAAAATGGTAAATATGAGCTAGATAAACGATTTAACTCTTTCAGTCCTAAAAAAGGCATTGTGAATGTTTGGATAATCCTTCTGAGAAAGCCAATGAATAATGTGTATTTTATGCACATTTTACTTTTGGTCAAACAATACTGTGGAAATCTGGCTACCCTAGTGGCCACACCACTGTGTTTAGTCTCTGTCATTCATGATGTGTGTCCCATTTGGGAATTTGTTGCCAAATCTTCTGGTACTGAAGAGTTAGGTGAATTAAATGTGAACAAGTTGAGCCATCTACAAAGTCACAAGTTTTACAGTTTAAGAATTGTAAACGTGAACAAGCTGAACAATCTAACAAGTCACAAGCTTAACAGTTTAGGAATTTTAAATGTGAACAAGCTGAACAATCCGAGTCATAAGTTTAACAGTTAAGAACTGTAAATGTTAACAAGCTGAACAATCTAATAAGTCACAAGTTGAACAGTTTAAGAACTGTAAATGTGAACAAGTCAAACAGTCTAACAAGTTACAAGCTGAACAATTAGGAATTGTAAATGTGAACAAGCTGAACAATCTAACAAGTCACAAGTTGAAAAGTTTAAGAATTGTAAATTTGACCATGTGAAACAATTTAACAAGTCACAAGTTGAACAGTTCAAGAATTGTTAAATGTGAACAGGCTGAACATTCTAACAAGTCACAAGTTGAACTGGTAAAGAATCTAAATATTCATATGTTGAACACAGGTTATAACTTCTGATAATATAATGTGAACATCATACAAATTCCAGGGGTCTCAATGGCAAAATGATTAGGCTCTTTGCCTTGTGTTTTTGGTATCTGTGACTTAAGTGTTGCAAATGCATTTCATAATGCCGGGGTGCCGGGTTCGATCCCAGCTGCATGTGATTTGGCAGCAGAACATTTTACATAAGTTTCGACAGTTGTATCAAAAGCTGACCGTTCAGTAGGCAATATCAAATTACTAAATGTAAACTTCACCTAGAAAAACCACAAAAAACTTAAAAAATGTGGGGGTTGGTTCTGCTACGCCCTGTAAAGGATATGCATCTATCTTAACCTTGTGTTCTGAAGGCCACATGTATAGGTTCAGGCTTCATCCTTTGGTTCTTGAACAAATGTGTTTCACAGATCCTTAAAGGTCATTGTTAGATCTACAGAGTTTGTGTTTTGTGCAATGCTTTCAGCAGGAGAAACAACTCTCAGTGATAAGAAAACTAGCCATATGGAATAATACCAGTAAGATGATGTAAAAGGTATGGCCTTTAAACACTGTTAAGGCCTCTATCTGCAGTACAAGGATGTCAAGTCTGGCCAGTTAGCATTCCATTGGCAACAAAGCTGTATGGATCAGTGGAGGATGTGTGTTTGCACCGAAACCTTCATAGAGGCCCGTGGTTCCATCAATTCTGAAAAACAACTGGCAGGGAGATTTAAAAGAGAAAAAGACATAGAAATGCATTGTAAAGAAATTGTAGTGTTTTTATTTTTGAAATATCAACATTTCAATTCAGTTTTCATTTCTTATTTGCTTAGAAAGTTCAAGTACAGCCAGTGTTGATCATGTTTCATCAATTAATCCTGAAAACAGCACAGAGAACTCCACTGGCAAAGCCTTGAGAATAACAGGAGCAGGAGGTATTCCATGAGTTTGTTTGCACAATAAAAAGTTTTACCTGTTTCAGTCACAAGGGGGTTTAGCAACAGAGGCCCAAGGGATAGTACATAGAGACGTATAATCCTGCGCATCTTGCATTACTTGGCCTTCTAGGTAGGAACCTATGAATGTATAAAGTGTTCCTTGGGACTGAAAGTGTTAATGAAGAAAGAAATTTAAATCTGATTTATAGAAAATTTGTTTAATAAATCAGTTAAATCCAGCTTTAATTTAATGTATCCGGTAATATCATGGGAAGTAGAGGCAGTGTAAATCTGACCACATCATCCAATGAGGGTCAGGAGGTTTAATAAGTCAGATCTATACTTTTACTTAATTATTTCTACAAAACTAGTGGATCAAGAAATGTGTAAATGCATGTTTTATCAGATTGATAGATTTACATTTATGCAACAATTTTTATATAGGATCCAGATGTTTATAAAAACATATTTCATCAAATTGGTATATTTAAATTTATACATTTTTGTATAAAATCAGTATATATATATATATATATAATTTTTTTTCAACCAAACTAGAAGATTTTAATTTAAATGGAAATATTATTCATAATATTAATTTTAAATTTAAAAAAATGTTTTAAATAATCTTAACAGAAATATCTTTGATACAATTATAGATTATATCAAGAAATATATTTCATTTTTCATTGATCATATTACAATGAAAATGTGTTTCACAAAATTATCAACTTTAACTATTGGGACATAAGTCAATAAGTAAAAAAAAGAACCCTTTTCACATCAGTGGCACATCAAGCATATGATGCTAGACTCATAGACCAGTTGGCATTTGATAGACAATGTGATCTGCATCTTGCTGGCCACATGTACTTCCTAGGACTTTGTCTGGTGTCCATTTCAGTCTGATCCACCTAGGAGCCAAGGTAGTTTTTTTTTTTAGAAAAGACCAAGAAAAATCCAACCTGATCTGATTTGACCATAAGATCTTCAGGCTAGAGGTAGAATGTCTAGCCACTATGCCACTGAGACATCATCATCATCAGGTGCCTTGCTGACTGGCATGGGCTACCATGCCTCTCCACAATCTGTGATCTTCTGCAGCATGTATTAGTTTGTGTGCTGACACACCTCCATGCCATGCAACAAGACTACCAAGAATCTTCTCTCATTGTCTTCCTCTAACCCTCCTTTCACTGATCTTTCCAGTGGTCACAACATGTTCCATTTTCCATCTTCTCATAACATGGCCAAAAAATGATGACTGTCTTCTTCTGGTGTCTGTGATAAGTTGTATTTGGGCTGGTGCCTCTTTCAAAACCTCTTTGTTGCTCTTTTTGGCTGTATAAGGTATTTTAGGCATTCTTCTGTAAAACCACATCCCTGAGGCCTCAAGAAATTGTTTGGCCCTACCGATTGTTCAGGATTTACAGCCATATGTTAAAACTGGATGTAAGAATTCTTTTTCTAACCTTCAGTGACAGAAATATATTAGTTAATGTGTTTCAATTTATAGAACAACAGCACAATTATCAAATAAGTAGATTTAAATTGATAGAGACAAATGTTTGATACAAGTTTACTCTTTGAAATACAGTCAATTTAACATTATTTTAAAGTTAAAGTCTGGAGGATTGGCTTCATTGCACCTGGTTTGATCCCATATGGCGCGGTCTCTGCCCGCAAAATGGTTAGCCACTTCATAAAGGCTTCCAGGCTCCTTATATGAGTCTTCTGAAAGAAGGATCAAAGAGGAAGAAGAAGACAAAAAGTATTAACTTGGTAGCTCTAGCAATGATCCACAGAGATCTACATAAAAATTGCATGAACTGAATGATGCTGCCATAGAACTAACTCACAAACTTCAGTGTTTGAGGAAAATGGCTTGACTACTTTGTCATGGAGAAATAAATTATTATAATAATGTTCACAATGTATGTTAATGATAGTATGTACAATGTGTAACTAACTGTATTTTTGTCAAGAAGAAACAAGGTATTTATAATAATCTTGAAGTTATTTTTATGATAGTATGAGATACCACAAGGTGGATGCTCTCATGGTGGCCTGAAAATAAAATGCTTTAAGGACACTCTAAAGGCATCACTTAAAACCTTCACTATAAACCCTGACACCTGGAAGGCTGCTACACAAGATCAGACTGTATGCAACGCACTGACTTGCAAGGCATTTAAAAAATGACCAGCTTAACAATTAAGACAGGCTAGAAAGAGCCATATAACAGACCTTTTACCTACAGTCCCTGTTCCCTGTGATCACTGTCCTAGATCTTTCTTGGCCCGTATTGGACATATTTATCATCTCTGGACTCCCAGACCATCAACTAACAGTTTCATAGGGGATGAAAAAATGAGTGGTTCTTATCACTTGTGTTGGATGAACAGCAAACATCATACAAACATGATAGTATATACAATGAATAACTTGTCTTTTTAATATCTAGACTCTTCCAGCGGCCTCTCACCAGCAGTCATTGGAGTCATTGTTGCCTCTGTTTTGTTGGTTTTTATTGTTGCTTTGATTGCTGCTGTCTATTATAGAAGGTAACTGCATGTTTTCATGTCACAAATTATCTTTCACCCTTGTATCCTGTCTTTTTTGTTTTTGTTTCCTTTCCCCCTTCTTGTCATTCTATCTCTTCACCTTCTTCTTTTCCTCATTATCCTTTTTCTTTTTCTTTTCCTTCTGCTTCTTGTTATTTTAGTAGCATTGGTGTAAAACTGTAGTTGAATTATGTTAAAAAAATAATTTAATCCGGTTTGTGTGTACTGAATATTTTAGGGAAAAGGGAAAAAGGGGGGGGGGGGGGGGTGCAAGGGGGAGGGGGGGGGGGGGGGGGGGGGGGGGGGGGGTCTTTTAAGTTCATTAATTATATACTGCATCTTAAATAAACGTTTATTTTATATTAATTTTTTTTTTTAATTCCTATTTTCTCTACAGTTTATTCCTAATTATAGAATAATACATTACCCAGTCAATTTACCCAGTTTTTAATTTTCTGTCTTGTTTTATTTGTCTTGCTCTATGACCAGTCTTCTTTCAGGGTGGTTAGAAACTCAAGTACCAACACAGATTCACAGAAAAATGCTCTCTACCACATTCTGAAAATATATTACCCAGTAGTATAGATATTAATTTTGTTTGTTTGGTCAGTCCACAAAATGCCCAAATAGAAACTGGCAAGATACATTAAAAGTTTCCACACGTTCTAGCACAATGTGGTCATCAACACTATATGCTGGCCATGTTATCAGTCCTGGTAGTTGATCGATTTTTGAGTAAAGGACATCACACTGAGTGACAAACACCCGGTGACCCAAAGTGCCACTATTCAGATGAGGATTACCCTGGGACAAACATATTAAGGGTGACCCAAAGTGCCACTATTCAGATGAGGATTACCCTGGGACTGGTCTCAGAAGTCCCTGTTCAGCCAGTAGGTTATATTAAGGACCCAACCAAAGTGCCCCAGGCAACAGCCAGGGTGGGGCTTCAAAATTATAAAAAAATTGTGTCCCGCATGGAGATGTTAGTGTCCATGGTAGTTTTAGTAGTAGTAGTAATACATTTTACCCCACAGAGGACATCACACAAGCGATAAACACCCGATGACACAAAGTGCTCCCATGTGGATGAGGATCACCTGTGGAGAGGTCCTGCAAACCGCGTTTAGCCAATCGACCATTTTTATGGCCGGGCTATATTGCGGCCTCTGGCAAGAGCCAGGGTGGGGCTTCAAAATAAAGAAAAACTGCATTCCACAAGAGAATGATTAGTATTTTATGGTGAACCTGGTAATTTTGTCTATCTCTATGTAAATAATTCAAAACTAAGAGTGATCAAAAGAGTTTTTATTGGAAGTATAGTTGTCCGTATAAACATATGTGTATTCAAATTTTACCAATTAAATTTTGTTCCTCTGAAAACTGCACTGTCATCCACATTGCATATCTGTAAAAGAGTTATCTAAAATTCATTTTCTCGTCTTTTTTAGGATGAAATTTTTCGTTATTTGAAGCCCTACTCTGGCTTTTGCCAGGGGCTGCAATATAGCCTGGCCATAAATATGGCCTAAAGGCTGAACGCCGTTTCTGGGACCTCTCCAAGGTGATCCTCACCCACATGGTGGCACATTGTATCATCGGGTGTTTATCACTTGTGTGATGTCCTGGTGGGGTAGAAAGTCAGTCAGTCAGACCTGTAAAATAGTTCAGTTTCATATCATGTCAAAAAAATAGTGTACACATCAATTGAAGTGTTTTGACTGTTGACCTCATGGATTAATTCCTTTGGAATTATATAGTTTGTTTAATTTCCAAATACAATTTTTGACACACAAACACACCTGCCCACCCACACACATACAAAAATGCACACATGTACGCACACCTGTGCATAGGCACACCCAGACATTGTTAAACAATTTTTTGATAAATTTCAGGATTCTTTAGTATCAATCTGGATCTTAAATACTTTCCGTATCTTTCATATTCAATCTGTAGCTTAATACATTTTATCTATATTTTAAATAATAATTTTTTTTTTTTTACATTTTCTACCTATACTTCAAATTTGCTAGATGCATTTTAGATAATTGGCCTCCATGTCTGCATTCCAGAAATTACAAGTACATCTTCAGACATGGGAAACTTATAGAAGAGAAAAACCCAGCTGACTTTTACAAAATTGCCTTTCCAAGCAGGGGAGAAGACAATGTGACCTTTGACACAGGAATTGAAAACCCAACATATGACTGCCTGCATGATCCAACACACTCCATATCTCAGCCAGGAGATACAAGGACATGATTTCTGAAGTCCTGTTTGGTTGCTGCTTGAGTCTAGAAGTAGACAACAGCGGCCATTATTCATTAATGACATCATAATGTATGTTTATTTTAGTTTCATTTCTCATTAAATAAAAATTTTTATCAAACATTGTTGCAAGAGTTCATAATGTACATTCCCCTGTGTGGGTTCCGAGGCCCATTGTGGGGAAAACAAGAAAAGACCCACTGCCTCCCCAAAAGCATGTCGAAAGAGTCGACTAATTGGGGAGCTTCCTTTGAAGTCGGAGTGCATCTGCCGGAGAGGCAAGGAACCAACAGTCTGTGTTCAAGAGAATGAGATCGGTAAAACTGATGCACACCCAACACTCAGGTTCTGGAGCAGGACTCCAGTTCAGTAATGGACGAGCAACCAGAACTTTCCGCCAGAGTGTACAGCTGGTGAACGCAAAGAAGAAGAAGAAGATAATGTACATTGTTCAGATAAATTTTAGGATTCATCTGTATCAAGTCAGGACCCCATATGCAGTTTTTATATTAGTTTTTTGTTTTAATTTTGTAACATAACGAAGGTGGTGGGAGCTGATCAGACAGTGAACAGCAGCTGGTGACCTCAATGGCACGCAGTGTTATGGGATGATGATGATGTTGAACCTGATGGTGTATAATTGAATAAGCTACTGTGGCAATGTAGTTATAGTCTTCACACACTTGCCTTCTTGGGTGCTGTTTGCGGTAACTGTGATGTTTAAATTAGGTTACGCACTGTGCGCCGTTTCATTCATAAATCATTAAACTGCCCTGAAGCATAAGGGTGTGAGCTAATTCTAGATTATTTCGGGGACACCACCGGCAATGTGCAATGCTGCAGGTGAAGACAGCGTGGGTAAATTGTCGTAGCCAGCCAGGCAACTTTTAAATATGTCAAGTCACAGTTTGCTCAACATAGACAGATGTCCCGCAGAATAGACTCGCAGACCCCTGTGACCCAGAAGAGTCCAAGAAGCTATGAATGAAAGATCAACATCATGGTTACCGTGAACAGCAACCCTTCTTCTTTTGTCCTACTGCTTATGCCATAAAGTGTCGCAGAGAGGAGATAAATGTTGATTGCTGCCTTTGGGTGGTTGCACAGCTTGTGTTAAAATTGCATTTTCATAGTGTCTCTGTTACTTCGTCCAGCCATCTTTCCCCTGCTGAACTGTAACCTGCTGAAGCACTCTCTGGCTGTTGGTTGATCCCGTTCCAATCCTACCAGATGACCAAACCATTTGATTTTTCTGTGTTCTAGGAAATCATGTACCAGTACTGTTCCTACTTTTTTTTGTTGGTGACTTTGTCTCTTCTTGTTTTTCCCCACCACATTTCTTATACATGTTATCTCACCTGTTGTAATTGTGCATTTATGTTTTTTCTTTCTAGAACTGTCCATGTTTGCCATCTAAAGCACAAATAGTGCATTTATCTGCTGATTTTTCACATGCTTACCATGAGAGTAAAAATTTATTTTTTTCACGCCCTAGCAATACCCAAATGATGATGGACACATATTTTTTGAATAGATCAGTTAGCACTTTTAACAATGCTTTGCCAAACATGGACACCGTCTTCAAAATACAAAAGAAAAATAGTTAGGACAGAAACGAAATGTTTACATATCATGCTAAATGAAACAAAGAAAGATCAATTTAGCAACGATGATATCAGGAGGAGAGTCAGTACAGAACCAATACTGAACTTTATCTGCAGATAGCAGATAAAATGGTTTGACGATATAATAATACTGGCAACAGAGAGAAATGTTTTACAAATACAACGGTAAACATCCAGAGGTTGACCATGCAGAAGATGAACAGTGAGAGGTACTATTATGAAGCAAACTGAATGGCCCATTCCGGAGACCTCTTCATGCTCTGACACTATGAGGCATTCCACATGTAGAGAAAATAAACAAAAAACATTTGCACTCAATGGGTAATGTAGTTATCATATTGTAACCTTTACCTCTCAGGAAATTTCCTGAGTACCCACTTTATAAACTGGGTTTACCTGGGAGCCAAGGTAAAAAATTAAAAAATTGTCCGGGTGTTGATTTGAACCTAAAGCCCTTATCCTGGCAGGGAAACTTATAGCCTTTCACCTCAACACATACAATCTAAGAAAATCCCTAAATAAATTGCCTTTTACAGCGCGCTTGTTAGGGGGCAGTGGGCTTGTCCCCCCCCCCCCCCCCCAACCCCCAACCTTTCAAATGTTGTACTAGAACCCACTTGGAAATGTCAAGATTAATTATAGTAATAGCAGGATTCTCCTTTCTGATAAGTACAGTTCTGATTTTGAACCAGTCTCATAAAAGGGTACCCAGATTTCCTGGGATTCACACAATATCAATCATATTACATTGACTGCCAGTTGTCCTAATAATTTGTGGACAGCATGATAAATCCAGTATACCAGATGATCCTTTACATTTTTGGCACAATAAAATCCCCTGTGGTTTTTACATTATTCACACATGTTAAAATCCCCTGTGGTTTTACACTGCCAATATATATATATATACATATATACATATATATATATATATATATATATATATATATATATATATATATATATATATATATATATATATAATATAACATAATCCAAAAGGATTGTTACTTCAAAATTATAAATCCTAGAGTTTGTCTACTTTAAAGAAATTTCTTTTAATTCTATTGAACTCAAGAGCTTTGGAATATAAGGAGTTATTATATAAATGAGACAGAATGGAATTAAAAGAAAAGAAAAATTTGACAGCAGAAGTTAAAAAAATGTTTACATTATCAAAAGTAATCAGTGAACATATTGTACATTCGCTGGTATTGAAAAACATGTTAACAGTTTAAATGAGATAATCTAGATATTAATCATAATGTAATACATACATGTCTGGCAAACAATTGGACAAACACAGTCTTTCGTGTAAATTCTACATTAAAATATAATACTTGTACGTTTTATCTACTGTTGGGCATTTTATTTTGCACTTGTAGCTCTTTTTTTTTTATATGTATGTTACATGATTTATATACCCCTTAATGTTTCATGCTTTATCACGTATCTAGCTTAAATCCCTGATAAGCATTTACAATTTTTGTTTAACATACTGGATATATGTGTTATTTAGCATTTTTAGGCTGATTTGAAATCCATTTCAAACTGTCGTTCTATGTTGCTGTATATTCACTAAAATGAATTTTGTTTTTTAAAGTACTTATTCTTCTCAGTTTGTGTACATATTGTACATTTTTATTAGGAAAGTGCATTTATTTTAGCCTTGCAACTGCAAACTGAAACAATATACTCACAATCCAGTATCATAAGTATTTTAAAAAAAGCAAAGGACCCTTTTCCATGCCAATCAGGCGTATAGGGCATATAGGGCTAGACCTATATTTTTATAGACCGATCGCCACAAGATGGGTGATGTGGTCAGCATCACCCCAGCCGTCTTTACTTTCCCGGGACTGCACCCGGTACCCACTCAAGGCTGGGTCGACCTGGGAGCCAAGGTCATTTTTAAAAAAAAGTCCAGCTCTGCCAGGGAGCGAACTATTATTTGTATATTATACTCATAACTTCTATTTAACTGATTAAGTTGTCAAAGAATACCACGACTATCACTAAAAGCGTGAAAAGGGTCAGTTTCTTGCTTTGCTTATGATACTCTGTAGTAGTAGTTTTTAAACTTTTTCAGCTGGCACCCCCTGAAACTTATGGTAAGGAGGACAAAACGAGAAATCTCAAGCACTGTTAGGAACTTGGAGAAAACCATCTGCATAAATCAAAGTGTCAAATCATTTGAAAGAAACATTCACCAAACAACCATAATTAGTGTTAAAATATCAGTGTGATGATTGACACTGTTTTATCTTGTTAATATCTGCAGTACAAACTGTTCATGAACACAAACGTACTTGACTTTTTTGTTTTATAAAGTAAAAAAAAAAATTTTTTATTTATAGGTAAACTGAAAAAAAAAAATTTAGTATAACAAATTATTACAAATACTAATGCTCTCAGTTTCACAACTGTTTGAGCCAGTTTCCCCCCCCCCCCCCCCCCCCCCCTTTCCCCTGAGCATGTCTGTCTCCACCTTTCTCAACATACTCTTTGTGTGAGTTACAATTACGACATGTGTGTACAGCTGATTCTCATTTTGGCAGAAAGCAGCTGTGACTGCCTCTACCTCCATTGTCAAACAAGACATTGTGATATCATATTCTAGGCTTTGTTTGCAAACAGAAGGTCCATGTCCCGAAATGCAACCCACAGACTTTAGAGTGCAGAGTAGGTGGCTAAAACAGATCATAATAAAGATATTTTTAATCAGTCACCACAATGAATGATAACTGCAATAGACCTACAAATCTTTCTATCTCTTGCCTTGGTTTTATGCACTGGTTTTCTTCCTTGCATTCTTCCTTGGAAGGGTGGTTGGCACATTGCATTGTGGTTTACAGCTAGATGTGATATCCAATCCTTTTGGCCCAACACATTCAGTTTCAGTAACTAATTAATTAGCTACCTTTTATTACATGCTTGTGAAGGGGCAATAAATAGCCATCTTTTCACGCTTTAGGCGCATCGGGCATATGGCAAGAGCGTCCCATATTTTTACAGACCAATCGGCACCGGGTGGGTAATGTGGTCAGCATTACACCGGGGCAATAAATAAAGGTCCCTTAATACACCATTGGCACATCAGGCAATTGAAGCAAGATTAATATTTGTATAGATGGGTGATGTAGTCATTGTCACACCAGCTGCCTTTGCTTCCCAGGACATTACCTGGTTAAGGGGCATTGATTTGTAGGTACAGAAAAAGGCTGACATTCTCAGGGCTGTCAATGAGGCAGGACGAGAACAGGATTCAGGAGACGACGATGAGTCAGTAACACTCAAAAGAATACAAGAACTTCAAGTCAAAAGAGGTGTCACCAAACATGAACAGTATACAATTAGCCAAAGGAGAAT